CAAAGAAGCCCCTTCATTTCAAGGGAGGGACCACGTGAGGATTACCTGTCGTGATCCCTCCCTCTGGGGCATCAGGCACTGTCAGCAGGCAGGGTACTGGACTGGACGGACCTTTGGTCTGACCCAGTGTAGCTGTTCTTATATTCTTATACAAGGGGCAGCTGGAGAGAATACATAAACATCCTGTTTCAAACTCTGCTTTAAACCTTTGTAGGTATCACAACAATGACGCTGCTGGTATGTGGAAACTCCTGCTTCCTCATTGACCAGTCCTGTCTCATTCCTTTGACTCGTCCATTAGTCTGCCTGTATCCACCTGTCATTTCCTCATACCTGGGAAGCTTTGAGACAAGAACCAGCTTTTTTTGGGAGACAGGAACCAGCAGTACCACTCCCCCCCTTCCCGCTCAGCATAGAGCACCCTGCCCAATGGAGTCCTGGCTCATGGCTGGAGCTCCTCTTGAGGAGTTTAGATCAGCATTTGTTCCACCAAGTCTGACCTGCCCAACCCCAACCCGCCAGGTAAGATTTTCCTGTTGTAACATGTACAGGGTCAAGCATGGTGCCATGCTACAAGCGGAGGGTCCCAGCCTGGCCAGTCAACCCTAATGCTGGGTTAACCGTTTCAGGCAGCTCCAGTTACACCAGCGCCTGTAGTTATAGCTGAGCTCCCTTTTAATCTCATCCCAAACGCTTCTGTAGCGATGAATGGAGAGAACACAGCAGGGGACATTACCCAAGCCATTGTTCTTGCCACACAGCAGGAACTTTTGATCTTGTGGCTTCGAATGTGGAAGCCCACCATTGAGCGTGCAGCATTCAACACAGACAGCATAATTACCCTCAATTACGAACAAAAGGGCCCTGCTGCAATACAAAGTTAGAACTAGAAGAGCTGACTGGAAGATTCCAGGTTACCCAAAAAAAACCTTACAAAGATTTTTGCCTCACGTAAAACCTGCCTAATTCAGACACGTATTGAAAAAGATGCTAGAGATTTTGGTTAACCCCTTATTAAAGGCCTCCTTGCTGAAGGCTTAAAAGCTGTGAAACAAAGATTTTTTTAATTACGGGGCAGGGCTTGCAGCGTCACTGTAATTATAGGCTGCCAGTATATCCACTGGCAGCTTCTGAGGTGGTAATAACTTGACCATGTGGATCCCAACAGTGACAAAGCTTAACTCAACGCATCAGCCCAGGTGCAAGTTTTGTTTTACAAAACTAGATTTCAATTGATCCAGCTGCTTTTTAAAAAACCCATCAATTAGTAAAGATGGAAGAACTGGGCTTCCAATGCCCCCTCCCACAAGCTCTCCGCAAGCTCTCCATCCAGAACACAGCTCAAACCCACATGATAATGAAAGACCAAGATCAGATGCAACATCACAAGGCCCCAGATTCTGATTTAAGACATATGATCATTGTCACCAACCTAGGAAAATTGTAAATAAGTGAAAAGATTCAACTGCAGGATCAAAACACTGGAAAATTCCTATTTCTTCCCCCTCCCCCCCCCCCCCCCACGAAAAAAAAAAACACACA